ACACACACACACACACACACACACACACACACACACACACACACACACACACACACACGTTCACTGACTGTTTCTTTAAAATTCATACGGACACGTTTATCGTACGACACACAGACCTTGGAGGTGTAGTAGAGGCGTAGGATGGCGTTCCCAGAGAGGTCGATGGTTTTATGACTCGCTGATCCCTTTACAGTCGAGCTGAGGAAGACAGATAAGAAAACACGATCAGCCGCAGCACAACACCTCGTCCTTACAGCTGTCATGGCTCTAAAACGGGTCAACGGGTCAACGGGTCAACCTGATCTGATTCAGTCTGTTCAGGCCACACAGCTAAATATGACTTCACCTTAAAAACCACAGAAACATCGCCCACCTGTGCAGGTGCAGCCAGTGGCTGGCGATGTCCAGACACATGCTGAGCTGGAACAGGAAGGTGTAGGAGGGGTAGAGCAGGGATAGGTTGACCAGCAGACACATGGTGGCGCAGCGGTCAGTCAGCATGTCCAACATGGCGCCAAACTTAGTGGCTGAAACAGAGAGATCGGCCCGTGAGACCAGAACACGACCTGCTGCAGGAACCGTCATGGCTGCAGTTCCTCTGACGTCCAGCGGAGGCTCCAGCAGCAACTGAGTCAATGTTAAAACTCTACAGCAGAAATAAACACAGCCTGAAGCTCCCACAAAGATTGTCTCACGAGACAGCGAGCATAAAAACGGCCTGAGACGCACACAGAAATCTACTCAGGGGCGTCCTCCTACATCAGCGGGTGTTTCTGCAGATATGGTAGATGTTGCACCTGACTGGACAGCGAGGGATCCACCTCACCACTGCGTGCTTTTAACGTACCACACCGACCCACTACGACTGAAGCAGTGAGAGTCGTTAAAATAACCCAACCACACTCCTTCCATCTTTTATATACAGAGTGTGGTTATCAGCCAGTATAAACATCAGGAAAACAAACACGTCCTCCATCCAACACAAAATCCACATTCAGTCAAATCCTGCCTCCAGGAGTCAAAACTGGACGTCTCTCTCTCACACACACGTGTGTATATACGTACACTGATTGAGCGCTCGCGCTGCATGGCCGTCAAAGGCATCCAGCAGAGCGCTGAGCAGGTAGCAGAAGACGGCCGGCCACGGGCAGCAGGGCATCAGGAAGAAGGAGATCAGGGCCAGCACCACCCGGGCATAACCTGCAGGATCCAACCAAGGTGAAGGGATTTATTCAGAAACAGAGTGCGTTTTAATGATTTCAACAATGATTATCTGTGATGAGAAAATTCCTTCTTATTGCATATTATTTGTCATTTTTCGCAAAAACAATGCACTTTGTTATGTCTCTACACTTATGTTACAGCTACCTATTCCAATAAAATTGATTTTAACAACAAAAATGACAAGATAGAAGCTTATAAAATACTTAATTACACTGGGTACAGAGTAGTCCACATACGATGAATATCTTATGTTATTTTTCATTATTGAAGGCATTTAAAAGCATCATATTGAAGTTGTAAAAACCCATCGCTCAATGGCCTGATCAATCTTTTTATCCACAATAAAACTGGACATATTTCAGGGGAAAATGCTCATTTATTATTACGCAAACAACTACAATACAATAACACAACGTGCCGTCCTTTGCCATTAATTTCGGCTTGATTTGGCTTCCACTGTGACGTTACTCAGCTCACTTTGCCCAGATAAAGCAGATGAGCCGGATTCTCTAAATTGGACGTTTTTTGAATGGAGTTCGGTGAATTTTACATTTCGCCGGCTAAAGCTAAGCTAGCTCCGCGTCGCCAAAGGCGGGAAAAACTCACCGATTAAATTAGGAACGAAGAGGAAAATGTTCTCCGTCTCCATGTCTGCGGCAGTTTGTGCGACAAACGGAGCGCCTGTTCTGCGTTTTTATCCGCAACAGGGTCTTTGAAGGAAACTGCAGGCGACTATTTGAAAAGGTCACTTCCTGTCACCCAAAGGGCTCTTCACCGGATACAAGGTTACAAATTCCGGTTGTTTTCAGAATAAAGGTGGAATGTTATGACAGCGTTTTGTTTTGTTTTATCAAATAAAAGTACAAATTTATAGAAAAACTAAAGGGAGATTATGCCGTTACATTGATGGAAAAAAATAATTAAGAAAAAGAAACTTTTGTATGTGTGTTTACATTTGTTTTGGTAAGGATCTTCACCTTTTGCTCTACCTCATCTCACTCTCTGGAAAAGGAAATAAAACATAAATTTAAAAATATATATATATTTTTACCAACAGCAACCATAACACAACATCAGACTAAAACACATATTTAAAACCCATTTACATGGAGATAAACCCTGTCAGCAAAACTCACTCTCGATTGTGTTTTAGTCTTTAATTCTAACACAAACTGCAAAACTTTCTAAAAAGACAAGCGTCATTCTTCTTTGCACTTTCTTCTGGAGCGCAGCGAGGAACTCCCTCACACAGAAGACATGTTCATGATGAGGAAAGTCCGTAATGCCATACGTAATGAATCTGAACCAGAAAGTCTGCGCTGCAGTTTGATGGAGCATCGTTTGACTTCGACAATACTGACACGTTCCTACAACCCATGAAAGCTCTCTGCTTCCAACATCCGAGAGCATGCAGAGTAAAACTGTCTGGACTCAGCCTTTGTGGTAAAGTTAGGTGTAATACAGAGAACCAAAAGTGCCCAATGAAAATAAAATATTTTTTGCAGAGAAAGAAAATAAACATTTCATATTTAACAGATTCATTGCAGCAATTTATTTTTATGTTAACTTTGAGTGGAAATAATGGTGTTATTTCTTTCTTTGGTCTCATTTTGACACTTTTGGTTCTCCTGAAAACAATAAAAAACATCGCCCCCTGGTGGTGAACATTTCAGGTAAATTTTACAGTCTGATTAAAACAAATCTTAAATATTCACGAAACAATTTAATAAGAAAGGAAATGACAACAAAGCAGTTTTTCTGTTTTTGTTCTTTTATTTCTCCAAAATTATTTGATTACGTTTCTGTACATCTCATTTTTCCAACGCTCCTGAAACACTCAACCTGAACATTTTCACTTCGCCCTCCTGCGACATACACACACCCTTCATCCTGCTCTGCACACAAACAGCACTCGACTCTGCCTCCTCCTCTTCCTCCTCATCACGCCGATGGCCTCAAACGCTCCTGGGGATATAGTCTTTTTTCCTTGAAAGTTTAAAGCTGCAGGAGGAAATGTGAGGAATTGAACAGAAACATTTTGTTTGCCATCGACTCTTGAAATCGGTAACTTTGCGCTTTCAAACAGAGTGAACCTTCAGTTTTTAAATGTCAAACTGTCCTTGAACACAGCACAGAGCAGTCTGAGAAAATAAAATAAAAAGTAGAAAAAGTGAAAAACGTGGAGCTGAAACAGTAAATTGATTAGATTGAAACTTTTGCTGCTAAAGAAATCTTTTTTCTAGTTCCAAAAATTTGTTTTATACGATTTTAAATGTAATTCTTTTGTGTTTTTAGGACTTTTGCTGTAATTTAGCACATAAAAACTTTATGGGAAAGAACAACCAGCAGAAGAATGATTAGTGTCATTTTATTATAATAAATTTTAAAGAAATTTCCTTTGTGAACATCTTTCCTCTTAAAGGAGACGAGATATTTTAAAATGTCAGAGAAGATCCAACATGGCGATCTAACTTTGTCCATTAAATTTCCAATCAAACCGTTCGATTGACCGTTTTCAGCTCCTAATATAAAGACGTCACATTTAAAAAGCATTTTAAATGTTTTGTTGACCAGAACATGAAAACATCTCAGTAACTGTCGCTAAGGATAGCAAACATGAACACGTCCTATAAATTGTGACCACGTGACAATACACAGAAATCCTGCAGTCAGTAAACTGCTCACGGCTGTAAACGTAGATGAAGATCTGGACTCTTCCTCAGTCTGCAGCTTTAATTGGCAAAATAACACTTGAGGAATGGTTAGCATTTCACAATAAATGCTATTAAAAAAAAACAAAGTTGGCAAAATGAAGTTTTTTTTTTGTTTTGTTTTTTTTGGGAGGAAGGAGGAGGAGGAGCTAGTCCACGTTGCCCCACCCCGCCCCACCAATCATCTTCCTCAGCACAGCGTCTCGTGTTTTTAAAGTCCAGCACGTCCTGCAGACAGCTTTCCACTGAGCGTGACGTTAAGTTTGTCCCTTCCTGCTTGCACTCATCGTCCCGTCAACATTTGCACAAAGTGAAGGAAAATGACAAAAAAGCCAAAAAATGTTTGTTTTTCCTCTTTAGTCCACCTGAACATTCGTCTCCTTTCAGTGCAAATGAGGTAGACGTGACAAAAAGATGATCTTCTACCCATTCGGACTGTGCAAAATGAAACAGAGGTGTTTGTCTGGAAAACACACGGAGTGGAATTCCTGTACGGAGGCCCAAAGATGCCAATATTCATTTCAAAAACATAATTTAAAGTTTAGCCAAACAAACTTGAAACTCATTTTAAAATCTTAAAATGTAACTCATTAACACCAAATGGGTTTTTTGTTTAGAAAGAAAAATGGAATGACTGAAAGGTCGTTTTAACAGAAGTCTCTTTTTGGCTCTCATCTAATTTAAAAGTTTTTTAAAATCTCAAATATAAAAACCAATAAATAAAAAAAAATGTATAACATTAAAACTAAAGGGAGGCAAAACAAAGGATGACAGAGGTGAGTTGCTGATGTCTGATTAATTAATTGGTTCAGTTACTTTGGGGAAAATACTGTGAAGAAATTTAAAAAAAAATGTAGAAGTGGTTTTACTCTAACTTTTAAATCAAATTACAATTACCGCTCTGAAGTCCACTGCCAGCTCAAAGCACACAAAACTGGAATTCTTTAGGGAATAAATGTGAATCTTTATTTAAAAATCTAAAAAAGATAAAAAAAAATTCTTAGTGTTAACCTGCCTTTAGTTATTAAAGAATGTATTAATAATAGGTTGACACCTTTGGGCTTCCGTATATGGAGGTGTTCTTGCAGATGTTACAGTGTTTTTGGGAAAGTCTTTCGCACCATAAAGACGATGTGTAAAACAAAAAAATGATAAAGTTATGGCACCAAAACGTAGTGAAAGATCTGGAAATATGTCCATACGTCATGTGATAATACTGGCTCAAAACAAAGAAAGAAAGAAATGAAAACAAACAAAACAAAAAACCCCGCAGCCCTGCCCAGAACTGGAGACTCCCACCCTGAGACCTCGACAGGAATGCTGGGAAAGGTAGTCCTTTTGTCCTCCTTAGAAACGTGAATATTTTTATAACTCTATCACAGTAACATTGCGCTTATTCCCCACCTAGTGGTCAAAATTGGCAATCCACATTTAAAAATTAGCGTACAACATAAATATTCCAGCTGCAGTAGAGGTAATAATAATGATGGCGTCTATTCGTCTACAAATCAAGTCACGTGACAAAATAGTCATCATTATTACTCTAACACAGCCTCAGAGTTATTAGTGCTTCTATGTACAAGTCAAGAGTTTTGGACAGTGAACAATCGTCAGTTTACCTGCTACCTGTACACAGGTATCTTACATTTATAAGCATTTATATAAATAGGTAGTGTGCATGTTTATTCATACAAACGCCGCCTGTACACGAGCTCCATGCACCGCACTACTCTGACGCACATGTACACCTTATCTACAGATGCAGAGTGTGGAGGGGGGGAGG